CGCTGCCGTCCGGGGAAACACTGCTGCTCGCTCCACAGTTTTGGGATGCAGCTGCGAGGTGTACAAATTGTCGGTGCAATTCGTATTCTCGTGCTGGGTCAAAAAAAAAAAACAAAAAAACATTCGTTGGGATTTAGTCTCGCTTGTAACGCTTTCATTCCCGTGAGAGGTTGAGTGGGTTGAAGCTCTGAGAAATAAAGTATTATTTATATATTATTATATAGAGTAGTATTTCAATGCCAAAGCAAACATCAGTGCGACTTGGGCTCTTAAGTGATGTGAGAAATAGCGCTTGTCTTTGGCGATACCCAGTGAGCCCGCGCGCTGCAGCGGGCGGCGCCTTTTTAGCAATCGTGGAAGGGGAGGAACAGCAGGGATCTTCTCAACCCCACGTTTACACTGGCTGTTGCTTGAAAAGCAAAGTGACCCCCAGTGCTAAAACTGATGTTACTTAAACATGGTTCACCGTGAAGCTGGACTCACCCACCCATGCAGCGGCGGCGGCTGCTGGACCGGTCGACTGACACTGATGTGAAAATCCGCAGCATCAAAGCAGGCTCCGTAGACGCAGCCAGGGCAAAGGGACGGCGCTCGTTCCTGTTCTGTAAATCTCCGCAGGGACACGTAAATGCTGCACTGCCTTCACCCTGGAGTCTGGTATATCACTATATCAGTAATATACATCAAAGACGTCGATATTTGGCTCCGGGCTGAGGGCAGCGTACTTTGTGCTAACCCTTAATTAACGCTGGCCGAGCGCAGCCTTGTGCCGTAGGTTACCCCCCTCAGCCTGGGCGATAACGCTCTTGTAGCAGGGCCACCAAGCCAGAGGTTCCCCTTGAAAGGCTGGAAGTTTTTGCGGTGAACCACTTGTGTGTGTGTGCGTGTGACTGCGCTGCAGGAAGCCCGCTCCTGTCCTGCAGTCAGCTGGTCACGGCTGTTTTTCCCTTTTTCACCTCCCAGCTGGGACACTGAGACTTGAGACGGGGGTGGAGGAGGGACCGGTGCTCTGCGGGTCGCGGCGGCGGGCCGTGCCCCGGCAGCAGCGGGG